AACTTCAAAAAAAAGAACAAAATATAGACATCACTCATGGTAAAAAAGGTACTCCCCGGGAATCGAACCCATACCTCTTGGTCAACAGAGAAGGATGTCGACCATTAAACCAAACTTTCGAACTAGCAACCTGCCCAGGTTTCGGTATGGTGAACCACGCAAGCGCCAAAAATAGAAGTGGTGAAAGCCTGTATTGCGATTTTGGCACTTTCACCAAAGTACTACGACTCTATATCGCCACCGACAATGGTTGGCAAGTCATTTAGGCGGTTGGCTTTCGAGAAAATGAAGGTCAAAGTTGGGTGCGTTTTTCTCATCATCTACAAGGTTTTTGGACTTGCTCTCTCCATCTACAGCATTAGCAGTGGTATGAAAAGCTGATAGAAGTGTCGACAAATAAGCCATGGTCCCTCAAGTGTATAGCTTTGGTTTAGCCTTCTTTAGGTACAAAATTGGGCATCAATTTCTTATGTGACTGCTTTTTGAGATTGTTTTAGATCGTTTCGGAGCATGCTGTTACCATGTCGGGGTTTTATTTAAATCCCAGTTTCCTTATTTAGCTACGTATATTTATGTATATATAGTATATAAAATGTGGTCCCCTATCTTTTCAATGATCCGACCTCGTAAAATTGGTACCTGCTATCAGACGACAACTACATGGAGCCACGTCTATCCGAAGGAAGAAGCCAAAACCTAAAGACGATAAAGCGACAACACCACCTACCCAAAACGTGACACTGATTGATGGCCAAAAGCGGACATTTGAATCAACGGCAGCTTATGCAACGTTCTACGTTTGCGGAGTCCCTGTACGTGCATTAATCGACACCGGCGCATCCATGACCTGCATATCAAGAACATTTGCAGACGACATCGGCTTGAAAATCAATGCTCCTTCTAGTGCTAGATTTACATTAGGAAATGCCACACAACAAGCATCATTAGGAATTATCTTTGATGTACCTTTACGACCTGGGAATAAAATCACTATACCCATTAATGTTGAAGTACTTGGCAGATGCCCTGTACCACTCATTGTTGGCAACAATTGGTTTACTCGCGCACATGCAATAATCAATTTTGCTCAAAAGGCTCTCTCTTTACGTGTGGCAAAAGTGCAAGTTAGCATTCCTATTTCATATGTAAAAGAAATCATCAAGGCGCAGCAAGACCAGTTTAGCAAGCAACCATACCCTGGAGGTACCCCTGGAATCCTTTACAGCAGCGACAATGGATCCGAAACATCATCTGAAGACTATCCCTCAAGTGATTCATCAAGCGATTCAGATGATTCTTCAAGCACTACAACAAATGGCGATACACAAAACGAAAGCTCGGATAGCATTTATTTTCTCGAACAAGATCCAGAAGAGAAGCCTGAAGTAGAAGCAGAAGCCTTTATTGAAGATGACACTATCTTCTACGGTTTATACGCACCATACGACATCCGAGTTCCACCTGGCGAAACAGAAATTATTATAGGCAACCTACCAATGGAAGCATCAGAAGACATGATATTCGAATCACCTGGTGTACCATACGTTACCATTGATCGGCGCATACCCGGAAACCCCATATCAAACGGCGACACACGATTCACAATCTTCATCGAAAATAATCGAACGGAGGACCTCATCATCTATTATGGAGAACCCATTGGCGACTACGTACCTGATCGAATACCAAATGACGATGTTGAAAGTGCTATAGGATATGAATTCGCACCTCCTGCACAATCCACATTGATCACAACGACACGAGACGAACATTCACAAGAGCTATTCCCAATGACAACGGCGGCTTCAACAAACGACACCCACGTGATGAGAGGAAAATACAATCCACAAGCCCAAACGTATGAAGTCATATCGCACGCCAACATCACTATACCTCCAAGAGATCAAGTACACATATACAGTGAAATGGAAGCACCCGTTCACTTTCATTTGAGGTTCGAACCTGAAGAGGGAATGCGACCAGAGCATTTCCACCACCACTACTTTGGACGAGACATCGAACCTGGTGAAACGGAATTCAAGATCACCATCGTCAATGAATTGAATGCTCCATTGATCATTCCACACCCAAGCTTTATCGGGACTTACCATTTCATTCGAGATGACGACAATCAAGAAGAATCACAAACACCAAAATCGGAGACTCAGCAGCTACCAGACGAATATCGAGATCGATTCAAACCACCGGACATTGACGATCCGGAAATCAAGGACGACCTATACAAGCTTCTTGGTGAATATCAAGACATCTTTGATTGGGATGGACAAAACCTTGGACGTACCCATCTCATGCACCACAAGATCGAAACCGAAGATGTACAACCCATTCGAGCTCGACCATATCGATTAGCACCAGTTGATGCAGACGCATTGAAACAAGAACTTGACAAGCTTTGCAAATTGCGTGTAATACGACCATCAACATCACCATGGGCATCACCAGTCATCTTGGTCAAGAAAAAGAACGGCGATTATCGATTAGTCATTGATTATCGAAAACTTAATGCGGTGACCAAAAAAGACTCTTACCCTTTACCACGAATCGATGACCTATTGGACGCACTCGGCAACGCAAAGATATTTTCAGCACTCGACTTACGATCCGGATTCAACCAAGTGCCACTACACCCTAACTCCATTGAGAAAACAGCCTTTGTTTGTAAAGAAGGCGTGTATGAGAACCTCGTATTACCACAAGGATGTGCCAACTCACCTCGAGTATTCCAACGACTTGTGGACATCTGTTTGCGACCTCTTATCAACAAGTGTGTTGTGGCATATATCGACGACATCAACATCTATTCAAAGACACCAAAGGAGCACATCAATCATTTGAGACAAACATTTGATTGCATACGCATGGCGAATCTTACCTTGAATCCCGACAAGTGCATATTTTTCAAGAAGAGTCTACAATTTCTTGGATTCATCATCACAGCTGACGGCGTTGGGGCTGATGAAGAAAAGATTAGCAAGATAAAAGACTTTCCACGACCCAAGACCGTGACCCAATTGAGAAGTTTTCTTGGCCTTTGCTCATTCTACCAAAAGCACGTACCCAATTTTGCCCGCATTGCAAGACCATTACACAGTTTGACCAAGAAAGAAGACACACCATGGACACCTAAGGCGACTGAAGCCTTCGAACACTTAAAGACGGCACTCACAACACCACCGATATTGGCGCGACCTGATTTTGACAAACCTTTCATATTGGCAACCGATGCATCACGCGAAGGACTAGGCGCTGTCCTGTCACAACTTGGCGACGATAACAGGGAACGACCCATACTGTATCTCTCTCGAGGATTGAACAAGGCTGAGTCCAACTACGGCATATCAAAGTTAGAATGCCTTGCTGCTGTGTGGGCTATCAGACAACTACGGCCATACTTACTTGGAAAGAAGTTCACGCTCATCACCGATCACTCTGCCTTGCGAGGACTATTGAATCAACCGAATCCTACCGGCATACTTGCAAGATGGATAGCATTCCTTAGCGAATTCGAATTCGAGACACAATATCGACCTGGACGTGTCCATAACAACGCTGACTTTTTGTCACGTCTCGGCTATTGAAATCACCATCACGATAACGGCATTGTTGAACTGAACAGCATTGCGACGGCATTGGAAAGAAAAAGACATAATGGAAAAACAGCGTATACAAAAAAAAGAAGACCTGAAAAAGAAAGGAAAACAAAGAAAAGCCACGTAAAAGAAAAGAGCATCATCTATTTGTTACACATACCATCATCCGCATTACGATACACCATCATCCACCAATGAACGACAACCTATACAACGGCATTAAACATTACTTGGAGACACTCGAATACCCACCGAATACCACAACAGCGTTAAAGAAGACGATTACAAGTCAAAGTCGACTTTACTTCATGAAAGGCGAACAACTCTATCGGCGAGGATCACAAACGCGATTAGTTGTCACCAAAGATCAAGTCAATGGCATCATTTGGAGCGAACATCAACATCCTTTGGCGGGACATTACAAATTCAAGAACACTCTGGATCGTATACGACGGCGTTACAGGATTTCCCAAAAGAAGTGGAACATGAGGATAATGATTTCGTGGTTAAGGTGATTGGTTTCGTGGGTGATGATTATTTGTTCGTGGCTAATGACATATGAGTTCGTGGGTGATGGTTTTTAGTTTCGTTGGTAACGCTTTTGGTTTCGTAGGTATCGCCTTTTGAATTGGTGGGTGGTGCCTTTTGAATTGGTGGGTGACGCTTTTGGTTTCGTGGGCACAGCTTTCTATTTCGTGGAGGATGACTTTAATTTTCGCGCAGGATGACTTTAATGTTCGTGGGTAGCGCTTTTGATTTCGTGGGTGATCATAAACTATTCTATGCAACAGCGTACATCAATCAGCAAGTCGTATGCAATGTTGACCAGCAATACAGCGTATGAAACCTTTATTATCACCCACGAAATCAAAAGGGCTACCCACGAACATTAAAGTCATCCTGCGCGAAAATTAAAGTCATCCTCCACGAAATAAAAAGCCGTGCCCACGAAACCAAAAGCGTCACCCACCAATTCAAAAGACGCTGCCCACCAATTCAAAAGGCACTACCCACGAAACCAAAAGCACTACCCACGAAACCAAAAACCACCACCCACGAACTCATATGTCATTAGCCACGAACAAATAATCATCACCCACGAAACCAGTCACATTAACCACGAAATCATTATCCTCATGTTCCACTTCTTTTGGGAAATCCTGTACTATTGGCCAAGAATGGGAAACGACATCAAGCAATACATACAACAATGCGATCGGTGCCAAAAACAAGGAAATCGAATGTTACAAGAGCAACTACACCCAATACCTGTATCGGAGAAGCCCTTTCAAGAAATCAGCATGGACATCAAGCATGTACCCATATCTCGAGCAGGACACAAATACGTTATTGCGGCGATTTGTCTCTTCACAAAATTCGTTGAGGCTAAAGCACTCAAATACATCACGGCGACTGAAGTTTCATACTTCCTTTATTCAAGAATCATTTGCCAACATTCGACTCCCAAATACATCATAACTGACAACGGCAAAAGCTTCGTAAACGAAATATTTGCTACCGTTTGTCGACAATACTCGATCACACACAAATTGGCGTCAACCTATCACCCGGAGACCAATGCAAACATCGAACGATGGAATCGAACTTTCGGGCAAATCCTACGTACCCTACCGGAAGAAGAAAAGCGAGATTGGCATCTCTATTTGCCTGCAATCGTCTATGCAAGCAGGACCACAAGACACAAATCAACAAAACACACCCCATTCTTCCTCACTTATGGTCGAGACCCCCATTCACCTTTGGACCGACATTTGGAGGATCACGATGACGATGAAGATGAAGACTTAGATGAGGATGAAAATCAAGATGAAACAGAAAAAGAAATAGAAAGAGAAACAGAAAAAGAAGAAAAGCAAATAAAAGAGATCATAGCACGTTTCAAATGCCACATAGAGCATATGAAACAAATCAGAGCACAAGCATTAGCGGCTATTTGCAAGTCTCAGGAGACCCAAAAAAGACGTTTCGAGAAGAAAATCTTATCCACCAAAAGAGAGCTTAAACCCCCATTCAACATTGGCGACCACGTGCTTGTATACAATTGAAGCTTGGACTCCAAGCTTTCGAAGCTTTGGCAGCAATGGGATGGACCATACATCGTACACAAGGTCAAACGGCGAGGCACATACATTCTTAAGACGCTCAACGGCGACACACTACAAGGACCAGTACATGGCAATCGCATGAAGATATATCGATTACCGCACACGGAATGCAGGACAATGCAGCATCATGCATCCATCTTTCCTGAAACACAAGATGATGCAAATCAAATCACCAGCAGCTCACCTGATGACAATGATCATTCTAATGACGAAACAACAACCGATACCAGTGATACGGATGGCTACTCCACACCACCAGGTCTTACTCGACTGCGGCCCATCATTGAGATCCCTACCTTACCATCCTCATTACAACAACAAATACAACAACAAATACAGCAAAGATCACGCTGAGACATCTACAATCTGCAATACGAAAACAACGATTGAGGGAATACAGGCCAGCGAGACGACGTATAAAAGCGAGATTTCAATCATACAAAGTCAATCCACGTCCATCAAAGCAATCCAAACATCAAAGCAAATCCAAATTATCAAAGCAAACCCAAATTATCAAAGCAAATCCAAATCTGAAACCAAGGACGAGATCAAATCAAAAGCAATCAAACGCACACTCGCATCAACAAACACTCGACATGGCGACCTCCAATACCACACCTGCAGATAATCAACCAAACTACAACGTACCATCGGAATATCATTTGACGATATCTCCCCTATCAAGTCCGGTGAGGGAATCTCTACAAGCTGCAGCCGATCACTTTAACACACCAAGGGGAGAAACACTTCACGCACTACCCCCTTTGATACCACATCTATTACAAACCATACCGGAGAACCAAATTGTGCATCAACCATCAAACTTCCATGAGGCATTGCAAGCACTTACAAATGCTGCAGACGATCCAGAATGGCGACGTTATCTACAAAGGATCATTTCTGGAAACGCTCAACTACCAGAATCACCGAACACCGATCAAGAAACGTTATACGAATACGATGACGATGAAGACATGCCCGACGCATCCACTATATCGGGTTCATCTCAAGAAAGGCTAGCGACATCTTTTCATCATGAAGACACCTATATTACGAGCCCACAGAGATCGTATCTTCAACAACCCAACGATATGGATGACTATAACACACAACCCAATGATGTGGATGACCAAGATGCACCACCACGTTATGCAACTGAAGGCCCCTTTGAAGTTGTAAACCATATCATGATGCTTGCCCCCAACGATGTACAACGATTACGAAGCCTCCACCGACGAATCATGCAAAATCGAGAAGCTATGCTCGAAATGCATTTGGCAAGCGACCTCATTACTGGCGAAATCGGATCCATATTACGAAACTCAGCTGTACATCCATCATATCATCAAGACCAGGACCACTCTCTTCAAGAAGAATGGCGACTGTACGCATATCGACTCATGACGGGTGAACATGCAGCACCTACCTTTATCCCATTGTACCCCATACACCCAATGCATACCACTGGTGTACGCATGCAGATCTCAAACAACCCCCATTCAATACAACTCTTTGCCATAGTGCTATTATCCTTCGGAAAAGAAAATGTATACACATATCCCAATTATACAATATCCATTAGCCTCACAAAGAAAGAAAGAAAGAAAAACACATTGCTATCCATTATCCTTTGATGTATCATTTATCACGAAAAGAAGAAAAAAAATATATATAAAGAGAAAGAAATACTATCTCAATCTCCATCATCATCATCATCATCATCATTTTTCAATGCCCTCCTCGTCTACGTCTTCTGCCAGCTCTACTGTTAGTCTCTCTAGCAATAGCAGCGACAAATCCAACGATGAAGGATGGGGCGAACTTCATTTCCAGCCCAAGGAAATACCTGGTCTTAATGGCTTTTACGCCTATACTCGAGCCGATTATACGTATTGGTTACACGTCTACAAGCACGTCGACGCGATCCACCGATATCGGATCCATAGCGAACATCGAACCACATCAAGAGAAGCGGACCAAATGTCGCTACTTAGCGTTTGTCAAGATGACTCTCATGAAGAACTTGTTCGTCGAGCCGTTGGGGAAATGATGAACTTCTTGTGGCGTCATTACGATCCACAGGTCCCTATCTCCTATTGGCCTGTCTCAAATGATCGATACAACAAACAATGAATTCTCATCATCTTTGCCTTAAACCACAAAAAAAATTGTAAAAGATAAGAAAGCATAAAAAAAATGTATACGTTATCTTCCCCGTCTCTCTCTCTCTCCCTTTAATTGCCAATAAGGCCCTTTTTTTTCAATAAAGAGGATCTTGTATCCTTTTGTTACCCTTATAAAGTGAAGCTGTTTATCATTGATGCATATCACATCTTGACGACTTGTTAATGTCGAGACGACATTTCGCGAGCCGCCGGGAGGTGTAAGGTATCAAAAGTGTCGGTGATAAGATTGCTATTAGTCTATTGTCAGCGCGCGAGTCAATAAGGCTTTGAGACAATCTTGTATACTTTGATCCATCATTCAATGCTGTTTTCGCATACAAAGTTACCCCAGCAATCACTGTATCATAGCAACCATGTTGTCATGGCGACCACCTTACCGCAGCAACCTGTCAATCTAATTTCGGAACAATGAAAATCTCGGTGTCCTTTCCACACTTCTTGCATCCTGAAGCGATCATTCATGCACAACCACGTGCTGCTGTCATCTTTGACACCTCTCCATCACATCATCTTCTTACACTTTTCCCCATACACCCTTAGAATAGAAACACCCTTGAACCAATTGTATCTCTCCACTTTGTATCATTGTTAGATTAAAAACTTCCCCACATTGTTGTATCACCCACCGTTGTATCCATTTTTAACCCTGCACCAATAATGTTCAACGTCTTTTCGTTATTTCCTTTTTACTTTTTCATGCAACAGCTGTTTCAACATCCATTGTGCATTACTGCGGCAATCACATGAAGGATCGAGCATGCGCTGTTTCCATGCGAACGTTCTAAAGATTAGACGTCAAAAGATATATAAACCCTCAGAATGAAGTGAATAAACCAGCAGCTTAGCTCACAATTTATCTTAACTGAATCTCTGTTACGAGCCCTCGCAAGCCAAAAAGCGCTGCCAGAGGCACATTTATCTTTGAATCTTCAATCTGAATCTTACTTTTGCCTGCATCGGCCCTCTCATCACTCAACAAACTTGGTGATCCAATCATCTTTACATCACTTCTAGCCAACGTCGGCACCTTTGACTTTTTACTTTCCCAACCTTTTCACCCCTTTCTCGATTACAACATCTTCCCTTTGCCCAACTCGGCTACAACCTACACGTTCTACCTCTCTGCTCCCCACCTTTACATCATCTTCTTTGATACTTTTAGATAAAGTATCTGGTGCTCACTATCCAATCTCCTTGTAACCACGTTGTACACGCATTGAGATTACCCAATAAACCATCCAAATCAAACCCTGCTCTTACAAGTGGTGCTCAATCTAAAGTCCACTCACAAAACCCAACTTTCAAAT